GTTATAGAGTAACGATTGTACACTATTTAATAAACACCATCTTTCACTATTTAGTGTAAAATTTTAATCTATTCACCTACACTATATAGTGCAAAAAAAATAACTCTAAATATATTGGACCGATCTGAACCATGTTTTAGAGTTGATTTTTACTCTATATTTTTTCCTGTGTATCCTTGAAATGATCTGAAACTCAAAAATCAAATGATGTTCTTTTCTATATATGTACTTGTGATTATCGTTTGAACTAGAACTAAGCAAAAAAAATATTATTGGCAAAATTGCGCCTAGTCAAATTAAGATAATCGATTTTGTTCTTCAAATCGATAAGTTTATCTCAAAAAAAATCATGTATATATCGTATCAGTTTCTCTGTAGATCATACGATAGAAAGATACTATTTGAAAGTGCAGTTCAAATTTCAAGTCAATCGAATGAGTAGTTTTTTAGGAATCGTGTTAACCAGCTGTAAAAAGGATGTTTCGAGAAAAATGCACTTACACTTTCATGTAATACAATGTTATGCGTGTATACGCCTTGTTAATTTAATTTTTATATCTTCTACATTCAGCCAGACGCAAGCTTTTCATTTGAGATATATAACACTAAAATCGGTCAAACCATTCTTTAGTTATAGCGAATTTAATCAAAATTAATTTTTTCTTATTGAGGGCTAGACTTCCAGTCGGCAGATTCGCGGAGTCATTTCAATAGCCGTAGGCAAATAATTAGTAAATTTTGCAATCGGGCATTTCCACCTTCGCGTTCATTGTAGATCATACTTTCGATCGAGATGTTGATGACTAAAATTGGTCAATTAGTTAAGGAGATAATTGATGTGTTTGATCAATTCGTTTTTTGTGTTTTAATCAAAATCCTTAAATATTTCGAATCGGGCATTTAGCCAGGCATAAACTTTTAATTGAGATATAAAACATTAAAACCCGTCAAACCGTTCTCTAATTATAGTCGATTTAGTTTAAATTAATTTTTTTATATTGGGGGCTAGACTTTCGGGCGTTCACATTTGCATAAACAACGAGCCACACGGAACACGGTGTCATTCCGAGGGCTGTACAAGGTTAATGGGAAAGAATTAAAATAGGGCATTTTTCGATAGAATGATTTCGATAGAAGAAACTATGACGAATCGAATCACGTATAGATCTTGATCGGGTACATCGTTTACGAATTATCACCACATAAAAAAAGGTCATTTTTGTGTTATTTTCGTGTATCTTCGCATTATTTTGGCGTTTTAGCGGAAATCGAAAGAGATTTCGAATCGGGCATTTCCACTTTCGTATTGGTCAAAGATTACGCTTTCGAATAAGACATTGTTTATCGAAATCGGTTAACTTGTTCTCTTGTTATAATCAAAATACTATACATGTAAAATCTTATCTAATTGGGGGCTAGAAAAACTGGGGGCTAACTTCGTATAGGTGTCATTCCGACTGTTTTTGCAGCTTGTTCCAGGGCGATAAAGCATTGTTTTGATCTATAAAAGATCGTGCCGCCCCTTCTTATTCCAATTTCTCGCATTACAATTTTCCAATGCAAAGTTAGAAAGTGAGGATGAGCCTCCCTGCCTCAAGCCATGCTTTATTTGGAAATTCTTAGAGACTTCTGTTTGTATTCTAACAGATAATGTTGTATCTAGTATTGTTATTTGGGTTAGACGTACAAGTGGTACAAGTTTCTCTGGTATTCCAAGAGTATTCCACATTCGTATTGGTCAAAGATCGGTTGACTGGTTCTCTTGTTATAATCAAAATATTATACTTGTAAAATCCTATCTAATTCGGGCCTAGAAAAATTGGGGGCTAACTTCGCATAAGTCGGAATGACTGTTAACCACGAGAAGATAAAGTATATCGTTACCACTAGAAACCCATCAAGCAACCCTTTGTTAATAATTTAGTATGCGAACACTACCAACAAATGCAGGTGTGTTCATGATTTTCAGAGATAGTTCTGCATACTAGCTCTCACTTACAGGATAAAGATACACTGCATAAAGTGCGCCCAGCATAAAGATATACTGGGCGCTAGTGGGCCCGGTCGTTACATAAGGAGCGTAGACGTGGACATTGAGCCAAAACGATAAACGAACATTGAACGTAAGGTCTTCCTAAAGATTGTTGGGTCCGTGGTCAAACAGGGTTTGTGGCGCAGAAGATATAATTTGGAGCTATATTCGATTTACGAGGACCCCGACCCTTTATGTCAGGAAACCCGGAAAAAGGAAGATATAGAGGCCGCCCCTGTGTGCGTTGGATGGATGGTATCCTGGATGACCTTCAGACCCTGAAAAGGTCCAGATGGTAAAATGGAAGAGGCTTTTGAAGTAGGCCAGGAGTGTTGAAGAACTACAATATATTGTCGGGATAATTGATATATTGTAATATACAATCGATTTTGTCACTTTTAAACTTGTTTTCGATGTTGCAACATGGCATCCGAAACTTCAAACAATGTTTTAAGCACTGTGTTTAGGCTTAGCCCGAAAGTTTGTAGTTCTAGGCTTGTTTCTGATAACACCAACCAGTCGACATCCAGTAACAAATATTAATCTTCAATGAAAACTTTTAATCTATTTTTATGCACTTTTACGACTTGTTTTCCAATTCTAATAGTACAGTTCTTTTTGCCAGTTGTACAAAATCAAAATTACAGAATTCAGCAAGGATCGATCACGACTGGCCGTTACAGGCCGGGCGCCCACTCTCCATCAATTAAGGTCTGCTTAAATAATTTAATTATTTTTCCGACAGCTTATAATCACAATCAATGTTTGCAACGTAATAGTTCTATTTTAAATCAATCTATTGAATATTCCAATTCTGTTAAAATCGCCGTATCCAAGCCAACGCAAATTCCAATGGCACCCACTACCTCTTCTTATGTTTTTGAAGGGGTACTCTTTGACATCGTAGGTTCTCTTTCTTTAAGTGTAATTTCAAAGTAATTCAGTAAACATTTTTTGATATTTTGATATTAATAACAAAAATATTAAGAAGGTAAAGATAAGAAAGGAGGTAACTAGAGACAACCATAATGCAAGAAAAGCTAACTCTAAACTAGTTCAATCCATACCTAAAACAACTCAACTATAAAGTAACTCAACTCCAAGCAACTTAACTACAACTCAACTCAATTACAACAACTTTAAAATAACTGAACTACAAAGCTAGTTAACTTCAAAGAAAGTCAAACCAATTGCAAATCACCTGAAAGAATACTAACTCTCAATCAACGCTATCCTAGGAAGCTAACGAAAAACACCTTAACAACAAAGCAGTTCTACTCAAACTAATTGTAACCCAACCTGAAAGAAACTCAATCAATAAATGATTTAACCCAAAAACTAGCCGACCTCAATGCAGGTTAACCACAAAGCAAACCAATCCTATAACAAGTAATAGTAAAGTGATCCAACTTTAAAGCAACCCAACTAATCATAAAAGAACTTAATCCAATATTACTTTGAGAGGTTAACCCAATCACAAACCATATTAAGTACAAATAAATATCACATAACAGCCTCAAAGAAAGAGTAGGGGAGACATTTGACTAGAGTGTAAGTTGGTTTCATCACTTGCCAATTTGTCCAAAGAGCTTTACCGAGATATTAGCCAAGATATTGCAGTGAGAGTAGAATTTGCGAGAGTCATTTCTAATGCACGCTAGTGTTTCACTATTTGAAAACGATGAACTTTTCAGCTTTAACACTTTTTAATATCGAAAATCCTAAGCGCATACATCATAATTTATAAACGGCTGTGTATAACAGTGATTATAGATTTGAGGTTTTGTTTCTATTTCTAGGAAAATATATATTACAGTTTTCGAATATTATAGAGAACATACATGGATGCATTGTTTTTTCATCTTTAACAGTTTCTATTCTTTTACAAATTATTGATTAAATAACCAGTGGTATAATAGTACAACGGTGGCCAAACTGCGGCTCTTTGAAGGATTATTTGTGGCTCTCGATATATGTACCCGAGTAGCTTTTTTTTCAGTATATTTGATATAATTTCTGGAAAAAAATGTTTTGTATTACCTTTTTGCATACCGTTTTAATATATACGTATTTAATTGCGGCTCGCGAAAAATTTTAAATTGAAAAGTGGCTCGGACTATCAAAGAGCTTGGACACCCCTGTAATAGTATATTAAAAAACAAGTTTCGTAAGACACGTTTGAAATGCACGAATTCAAGATAAAAACGAGTGGCGAAGCCACGAGTATTTTAATGAATGAATGCTTTAAGTCTTATGAAACGTGTTTTTTTATGCTATTTTTTGTAATTCGCGATTTTATCCTTTTTTTTTCTCAAAAATAAAATAAATTTTGACAATGCAGAGAAATATTTATGTAGCAGTTGGTAATACTGTAACACTTGAAAATAGAAATTTGAATTGACAATTAGAAACTCAAAACACAAAATGTATTCACCTGACAAAAATTTTTCATGTGCACCTCCCAAAATAAGAGAAATTGCTCAGAGTTCAATATCCTCATCATTGTGGACCTTGTATTCGATGCTAAGAACGTGTTTAAACATCCATAGGCAAGCATTGTCACATTGAGAACTAGTAAAAATTAATGACCCAATGTCACCAACTTGAACTGGTTCCATAAAATGTTACTAAAATGTCATTACAGCATCGGATGCTGTAAGGAGTCTCATTACAGCACCCGTTTGAGTACTGTTATAGTTTTCATTACCGTCGCGAATTACAAAAAGTATTTTACTGCCAATAATTTACGAACTTCGATGCATCGCAATTTGCCAAAAGTTATAGTATTAAGTATCAAGAACTGCGATAAAGTTTAATGCTGTCTTTAATTAAATCTACCGTGTGGCTAACTATTAAATGTCTATTAAATGTCCAGACGAGTAAATCCATGTATTTCAGAGTCATAGTATGATAAAATAATCAATTTAGTATTTCTCTCGGTGTATTGAACAAAATAAAACTCAAAAGATTTAAATAAGAAAGTTAATATTATATTTTCATAAAAATTGATTTATGTACAACTTTAGCATAATAATGTAATACATATCCAAAATAAGGCACTTCTCTAAAAAACGTTCTCTCAAAAAACTCACACTCAAAATTAAAAAAAAAATAAAAACATTTTTCAAAGTCTTCCTATCTAAGTAATCGTCTACTGCAACTTCTTTACTTCCTAACGGAGAATCCATCTCCTGTTGGATCCAAAATCCAAGGATAGTTATTGGGGCATTCCATACAAGTAAATAATCTTAAAGTTTCACCGGGTAATTCTCTAGTTGTTAAAGGACAGGAATTCGGCAAGGAACAGTACGGTTGTCCTTTAATATCGCATTTTTCTTTCCATTCTTGGAAATCTCTCAAACCGTTTACTTCAGTTGGATTTTGCATCCATTGAATAACTTGTAACATCGTTACGAAATAAACATCGTTTCTTCCCAACATTTCTTCAATAAATTTAATCAATTCTTCTCTGTATTCTTTTTTACTCTTTAACCAGGAGGCATGGAAATGAAGACCTAATGGAGCCCTGTTGCTATTGTAATGACGGTTGAAGTTGTGTCTTAAAAGTCTCGCGAATTGTTCTCCAGATTGGATATTTGAACAAGAATCAACCATGTGACAACCGGGAAGTGATTCATCAAATGTTGGATCATCTCTTCTATCTAATTCATTCATGACCATTTCCCAAACTGGATGACTTCTGCTTGGGCAATTATGAGCGTTTCCATTACATTTATGAGGCATTCTAAAGTATAAAGTGTAAGGCCAAATTGGTACACGACCTAAAGAAGCTGTTATCGAAGCATCATAAACGAAATATTGATCAGCCATCATTTGGAATTGGTTATTTCCGCCAACTCTTAAATAAGGAGCTCTCATTCCAACAATTGAGGAATCAGTTATATTCGCAAATCTTTCAATAATTAAACGAGCACCAGCCATTTCAGCTAACCAATCATCATAAGAACCATGGGTCCAATAATTAGGATCATCTTTATGAGTTAAAGAGAAAACACCGACTTCATGACCTTTTCTGTGAAGTTCTTGAATAGCTGAGTAATTTGTGTATTTATGCGATGCGAAGAATGTTCCTTTAATCGAACAGCCATTAGGATTTAATCTTTGGCCATTAAAAACATCATCGTATAAATCGATATTATCGACATTTACGGCTCCGTTAAATGTTATAGTTATCATTTGAGGTACATTTGCTGGTTCCAATTGACCAGGGATTCTCGTTCCGTCAGCAGAACAGAAGCAGTCAGGGAGTACGCATTGAGTTTGGTCGCAATCTGGTGCTCTATTTGGATCCGTATCAACAGCTAAAATAATATAAAAAAAGTGTTAATAATCGAAAAAAAGTTTCATATTATTAAAATATATGTAAAATATCTATAATACTATTGCAAACAGGAAATTTAAAAATTTGCGTAATTTAGTGGTTGAAGTGGATGGAATATAACTGGAGGCTAAGGATGTGATGTTTTGAATATGGGAATGCAAATCACAGGTTTGATGAAAGCAAAAGCGTTAAACATACTAACTGGAGCAAGAGATGGGAACTAATTGGGCGAATATATTTTCATTTGAGTAAAAGTTTATTCTACAGTAGATTATGCAATTTAAGAGAAAAATTGAACGGAAATAAGGAAGATGAGGAGGAGCATATACTAGGACAAGAAGAACATCGATAATTGATTTTGTGATCGTGGATTAGGAAACGTGAGAAGGTATGAACTTGTTCATAGTAGGAGAATCTGGGAAATCTAATCATCAAAGATTACAGATAGAACTGAAAGGCGGTCTTGGAATACGGGGAGCAGAGCTGAAAAAAAAGTGTTGGTACCATACAAGTAAAGGAATGCAGACAATATAGGGAATTCTGACTAGGAAAAGCCAATGCTGAACTGGGATAGAGTGAGTAAAGAAGTGAAAGAAGACAAGAAATGGAAATTGAGGCAATGGCGTAGTTGGAAAGTAGACGAGGATGAGTGAATACTTAGAAAGGCAATAGATAATAGCAAAAGTAAAATGCCAAAAACGATCTGTAGTGAATATTTCATCATGCTGTTGAAGAATGAGGAAGGAAGGCAAATTCAGGGTGGATTTTGAGAAGCACAGAGATAAAATTCAGAATAAGCCATGGTGGGACGTTTAAGATGCCTTCAGAAGTCTTTTTGCAATGGAAACTTGTATGCAATGGTTGGTTTTAAATAGAATTTGAAGAGACAATGAGGTTTCTGGGTTTCTGAGTCAATAGAGGATCAGGTCACTAGTTACAGAGTAATTAGTTTGTTGCATATGGTGTGTAATATCTATACGAAGACATTACAGGATAGGTTTGATGAATGCAAAAGGAATTTTGCCAGATATATGTGAGATAACGAAAGTATCGAAGTTCTGTAAGGGAATAAGAAGACGGAGGGAGCAATAGAAATTGCCAAGGAAAGGGTTTGAAGAAGTGAAGAAGAATTCGTATCTGAGGTGATAGTAAACATACTAGGAACAAAGACATAGAGGAAGTTCATTAATATTGGAGACAAAGAATATTTAGGAAAGATATTCCGAAAATGAAAACATCGTTTAATGGAATGACGAAGAGCATGATGTTGTATGTAGAAGAGATATGGAGTTGAGAAGAACAAGGAAGGCTGGAAAATATACAAACAAGGTACTAGAGATGGGCATTTATTCTTGATCCGGAGTTACCAGGGCATATAGTAAGAAAATAGGTAATGTGGATTTACATGAGTGGGCGCTATTGTGCCGACGATAAGGTATAAGGATAGAGAGATATAGATGAGGATAGAGGGAGAAAATGGAAAAAAAATGGAGAATGCAGGAAGGAAGTCAGAGTGAGAGCGAGTAAACGTACGACAATATGACGAGAAGTAAGATTGCCGCCTTATGTTTTTCTATTGCGCTGATTGTGTAGATGTTGAAGAGAACTTTGACATAGACTGCAATCAAACATTAGGTAAAATAGAAAGGTTAGCCAGTTGTACTCTTACTAACAAAAATTACTGACTGGGAAAGCTTTCTGATATCAATTTCAATTTCTGTTCTATCAATTTCTGATATCATTTCTGATATTCAGCCGTACAACAATACTAAAGAGATAGAGATGAGATCAGAGAACTTGTCAAAGAAAAACGAAGAGCTAGAAGAAGATGTTAACAGTCTTGGGATTCCTCTAAACTGTACTTAACAACAAAACGCAGAAGCTCAGAAGAGCAATTCAAAAGCTTAAACAAGGGTCTATGAGTTCCTAACTAACAGAACTGTCAGTATGTCAAGAGACTGATTGTTCATTATGGAAACCAACCAAGAAGATCAAGAGATCAGAGGCAATAAACAAAGAGTAACGATGTTTGCTAAACATCTGACTGATATCTTTACTCTTAACCCAGGGCAAAATCAATGACTAATATTGAAAACCAAAGAACAGAAAATATCACAATAGTTACTCCTAAAGAAGTAGTTATTTGCCCTTTTAGATGGCTAAAAGGGCAAATAAGGTGATGGAGCAGCTCTGGGGATAGGGTGAGAGAGTGTTTGGAAGGGACATCAGCAAGAGAAAGATTATGTTTGATGGGTTGGTGAGGAGTGCTGTGATGTACGTTGCGGAAGTTTGGGGATGAAAGAGGCAGGATATTCTGGAGGACGTACAGAATCGGTACTGGAGGTGGTTTCTGGGTCTGGCGAGGAAAACACCGGGGTATATTGTGAGGGAGGAAGTGAAGGTGGATGAAATGAGGGTGGAGGCGTGCAGAAAAGCAGTTAAATATGAAGAAATAATAGATAGAAAACCATACTGCAGGAGCCTGGGGGAGTGTTGGAAAGAAGTTAGGAAGGAAAATATATTACAAAAGGACGGGTTTTTCGGTTCAGATATAAATAACAGAAGAATGGAAGGGGAGATGATATGGAGACGGGAGAGAAGGACGCAGATAAGAGAGCGAAAATACAATGAAAGATATGGGGACATAATGACGGAGGGGTTTTCAAAATACTTCATGAAGGAAGGGAGTGAGTAAAGGAAGAGGCTGGTGATCAGATTCCTTTGTAGCAATGAGGAGAGAGCGAACAGGTACTGGGCGGACGATGTGCAGAGGTGATGTTGGCTGTGCGGAAAGGATTCGGAAATGCTAGAACATATGTAGAGAGGATGTAGCGAGCCCAGAGAAGAGGAAAGGAACCGAATTTAGATACTGGAAGAGTGGGGAGAAGGCTGGGGATGGATAAGGGAGGTTTACAATTTACTAAAAGTTGTAAACCTTTAGTGGACAATAAAAAAAATACAGAATATATTCCTAAAGAAATAGCAGATGAGATAAGAACTAACCAGATTTCAAAGAAAGCTCTAGGATAAGCCCTGTCTAGAAGAGCCAAAGGCATGCTAAAAAATTGCAGAGGTTGTCAATGCAAAAAAGATAACTTAACGATGTTAAACCTTATAGATATCAAATTGTTTAAGAACTCTTTAAGTTTAAGACTAACCTAATCTCAGATTGTCATTTTAGATTTAGCCAAAAGCACTCAACAATACCATTAATTTTAATACCATTAAATGGGTCTTGAAAGAATAGAAAGAGTGCTCCGTAGTCTTCCGACGCACAAACTTTTGACAAACTTTGGCATGAAGGCATAACATCGTACATTTCGATGAGAATTCTTTTCAGAATGAACAAGAAGATGAATACTCAGACTTAAAATGAATAAAAGCGAAAGTGCCTCAAGGCAGTAACGGGGCGTATTTTGTATTTATCGTACAATAGCGACATATTATAGGTGGAGTAGACTACTGTGGTTATGTTTACAGATAACACAACCGTACTTGAAGTGAAGAAAGGTCAGGTTTTGTCAATTTTACAAATAAACAGCAGAAAATCCTAATGCCCCCAGATATAAATGACACCATCGTCCCATACAACGTCAAATACCTAAGCTTGACTCTGAACAGCAAACTTTGGTGGAAAGAGCATGAAAAGAAGAAAATAGCAAAATTATCCCTAAAATACACACAGCTCTCTTGGCTGACTGGAAACTCCAAACTTTCAATCTACAACAAGGAAGAAATTCCGTAATGGTTGGAACCATTAAGAAATCAGGTCCATGACAACATAGAGGATTTTTAACTGGAATCCACACCACGTCAGAAGACTGAAGAAAAGAAAGCCATGTGATCTTGTATAGTGTGTTGTATTAGTTGATATAATAGAGGACCATAGTGCGTGAGACCAAAACTAGAAGACACAATGGATAGACTCTAGTCAATACGATTAGTTTTAATTCCCGGCACAATAGTGCTATTAAAGAAAAACGATAATGTGATTGATTTTTATCAATGATTTTTTGGTTGAGGTTGCTTCTCTGTCTTCTGGGATTTCGATGAATATACCGCACACAGGCACATACTGCGTGTTATCGAAGATTTTAGTAAAATGAAATCTTTTCGGATTAATGACTCCGTCCGATTTTCGTAAAAAAAACAGGTGTTACACGGAAATAATGTACATCAATAAATACAACAATATTCTTATTAACATATTAACTTTGTTTTGATATGACTACAATACTATTATATGTATATTTTAAGTAAACTATTCCACTAAAATATTTTGTAACTGAACTCTTTTTGATACCACAAACAAATTTGTTTTCTAAACTTTGATAGGAACCGCGTAAAAGCGAATCCTCGTATAAAAACACTACGAAAAACGAGGAATACAGAATACTAAAACTGATGAAACATTGAAAATACCAATCGTTGTTTCCAATTTAATCAAATCTGTTGAAACACTTTACATTTTTTACCGTAACTTTTTTAATTACGATAGAAAAAAATCGAAAATTAAATTCAGGAAACGAAATTCAGAGAAAAAATATTTATAAATCGAATACTTACAGCAAGCATTTTCATCAGATTCATCTTTACAATCGGGTTTTCCATTACAGAAAAGTTCTTTATCGACACAGTCTCCATTTCCGCAAGATAATTTTCCTTCTGGACACACTGGTTCATCCGTCTTCAAAATTGGTAGCACTTTTCTTGGTTCTAAACACGCACAATTAAAAATTAGAATAAAGAAATACACACAAAAAAGTACAGGAAACGATAAATACGAATTTATATAAAAAAGTAAAGGATAAGAAACCGAATTGCTGCTTGGTCTTTCGATTAATAAGAAAAAATTGTTACGTAATAACTTTTTTTTATCAAAACGATCGATGTTGATTGGTTCGTTGTCTTTGTATAAATGGGTTTGGTTTATTACGTTAGATACTCTAGATAGAATGAGATATTTAAATTTTATAAAAGTCACTTGGAATAAAGTGAAAGTGTAATGTAATTGATAAAAAATGTGCCTACGCATTTTGTTCAAGGCGATATGGTTTATTGATGCCGGAATAAAACAGAAATGGGTTGGGTCATGTAATATTTTATTGTTTGTCGTCAAATGCCAAAGTTACAAACCAACTTTAAATGTCTAAAAAAGTTTTTTTTAATTCTCTAATTTTCCCATTCATTATCACATTTTTCAAATTTTAATTATTATTTTGCACTAAGCCCATCTCCAGTTGGATCCAAAATCCATGGATAAGTCGACGGACATTCCATACAAGTAAACATTCTAAGAGTTTCGCCAGGTAATTCGCGAGTAGTTAACGGACAAGAATTGGGTAATGAACAAAAAGGTTGTCCTTTAACATCACATTTTTCTTTCCACTCTTGGAAATCCCTTAACCCATTAAGTTCAGTAGGATTTTGCATCCATTGTATAACTTGCAACATCGTAACAAAATATACATCATTTCTACCCAACATTTCTTCAATAAATTTAATTAATTCCTCTTTGTATTCTTTTTTACTCTTCAACCAAGACGCGTGGAAATGAAGACCTAATGGGGCACGGTTACTATTAAAATGACGGTTAAAATTGTGTCTTAAAAGTCTCGCGAATTGTTCTCCAGATTGAATATTTGAACAAGAGTCAACCATGTGACAACCAGGAAGAGATTCATCGAAAGTGGGATCGTCTCTTCTATCTAATTCATTCATAACCATTTCCCAAACTGGATGACTTCTACTTGGGCAATTATGGGCATTTCCGTTACATTTATGTGGCATTCTAAAATATAGAGTATATGGCCAAATCGGTACTCGACCCAAAGAAGCTGTTATTGAAGCATCGTAAACGAAAAATTGATCAGCCATCATTTGAAATTGGTTATTACCACCAACTCTAAAATAAGGTGCTCTCATACCAATAACGGTACTATCAGTTATATTGGCAAATCTTTCAATAATTAAGCGATCCCCAGCCATTTCGGCTAACCAATCATCATAAGTCCCGTGAGTCCAATAATCAGGATCGTCTTTATGTGTTATTGAAAAAACACCAATTTCATGACCTTTCCTATGTAAATCTTGAATACCAGAATAATTAGAGTATTTATGCGAAACAAAAAACGTTCCTTTAATTTGACAACCGTTCGGATTTGCTCTTGTACCACTAAATATTTCTTCATACAAATCGATATTATCAATATTAACAGCCCCGTTAAAAGTTAACGTAATCATTTGAGGTACATTCGTTGGTTCTAACGAGCCGGGAATTCTTGTACCATCAGATGAACAAAAACAATCAGGAAGAACACATTGGTTTTGATCACAATCAGGTGCTCGATTTGGGTCAAGTTCAACAGCTAAAAATTATTTTTTACTTTTTCTGTTTTTCGATTTTCAAATGGAAATAACTTACTACATGCATTTTCATCCGATTCATCTTTACAATCGGGTTTACCATTGCAAAATAATTCTTTATCGATACATTCACCATTTCCACAAGATAATTTACCTTCTGAACATACTGGTTCATCCGTTTTCAAAATAGGTAGTACTTTTCTTGGTTCTAATAATTAATAAGTTCAAAAAAAATTTAATTTATATTCGGTGATAAATGGAAATGATGTTGAGGTTTTAATGAGAAAATTATTAATGTGATGGATTTTCATTGAAATTAAGCACACTTTTTATTGATTCCTAAAAAATGTGTGTTCGGATGAATTTTTATGTATTTCTCAAATTTTGTAAAGAAAAATCTGTAGTATTTAATGGAATCTCCTGGTGTTGAAAATCTTGTTTGGTTTTTGTGGTAAATGTTATTTTTTAAAGACTTGAATATTGTCAGAGGAAAGGTTGAGAATTATTGAGCTACTTCAATACCTGAAGAAAGGAATTCCTTCACTGAGGAGTTTCTCATCGAAAAAGTAAATCAACAAATTTTGGTGCATAGTGGTTCTTCAAAAACCAAATCGATAAATTTTATCACTCGACAAGCTCGAGATATTAAAATCGAACAAGATGCTTATAAATTATCCAACCAAAAAAAGATGTATATTGATTTTCTGAGAGAGGTGACTACCAATACTATAGAGGTCAAAATTGCAGAAATACAGTTATCACGAGTTTTTGGCATACTTGGAGTGACAATATTATACTCTCATTGGTATAAAAAGAATCTCACGATAGTGTGAAAGAGCTGTTGTGGGATATTTTCTCTTCATCATCCTCTGTCTTAAATTTGAGGACGAAAACATTAAACAGAAAATTTGACTTGCTCTTGCGTGAGTTGCAGGTTGAAGCGAACATTCTAGTATTGACGAACTGTTGCATTGTAAGTCATCCAGCAAAATGCGCGATAAAGAGTTTTACTTTCTATGATGCCAAAGCTTTTAACATCAAAAAACCTATAAAATATACATGAATGTATACGGATATCAACCAAACATGCCCCATATTGCCGATCTTACATTCCCTAATAGATATTATGAAGTACCATACATATCCATACATCGATAGAATACTCAATGTCTATTTGTGTATAGCAGTGTGCTTCCCAAAAAATAACAGTTTCGGCCACAACAAAGAAAAACAAACCTGAGATTCTAGATGAAAATTCTTACCATCAAAAATAAGGCTACTAAAATTGTCATTTTGGATTCCAAAAGGTTAAAATACTGGTTTCCTATATATGTTGGCAAAAAATTGTAATACAGCTTCCAACATTACATAATGACAACCTAATTAATGGTGACATCCAAAACCCCAGATTTCTTGGACTGGAACCAAATCAGAGATCCTACTTCACCTTTGATTATTAATTTATTAATAGTAATCCCACGTACGCCGAACTTTACTGTTGGCACAATGGATTCGACTTATAGGCGTTCTCAAGAATGACACCAGACCCAGTTCCGACCACCCAAACGGTAGAGGATGAACTTCTAGAATCGTCGCTTCAGAGAACATGTTTCCATTGATCTACGGTCCACTGTAAACGTGTCTTACAAAACATTAACTGAGCCTTCCACTTCTGCATAACATAGGCCACTGTCGATTTTTGACATTTCAACTGGCTAGGCAACTCCTTAAGGATCAGCCATTCCTGTGATAACCGACGATTAAATCTTTCTCGAAATCAGATAACTGCACTACATAGCATCGTGTATGCGAAGGCAGGATAATATAATACACAAGATTAAAGTACACAACTATGCCAATGGGCAAGTCTTGGCTTCCCAAGGAATTAGACAGGGCGATTCAGTAAGACCCTTCCTTTTCAATCTAATTATGGACAAGGTAATAGAAAGAAAAAGTCTAATCTCTGGACGGGTACAAAATGGAACACGATATGATAAACATAAGTTGCTATACAGATGATGTATGCTTATAGCAGATAACGAAGATAATCTTTTAAGGCTCCTCCATAAATTTTGTGAAACATCAATAAAAGGCAATGTGAGGATTTCCACAGAAAAAAACCAAAATATTAGTGACGTATAGGGAGCCTCGAAGATGCAAGTTGGAGCTGGAAAGTAAAGACATAAAATCGCAACCTATGAGGAGGCTCAAAACCAAGTGACAAAATCAGTAATGATTACAGGGCTCCTCAGACAAAGGCGATAAGAGAAAGGTGCATCATAGGAAAAAGAAGAAGAAGAAGCTTAATGTCTTAACTTCTGGTATTATCTATCTTGGCTATCTAGTAAAACTTCACAGTGTAGTGTTCTTCAGCTATTTTCGTATCAAGGTTACACAGTTTTATATTCAATGGCTTAACGCATTCAATCTATGACGGCTGTAAAAGTAATTCTTCATTATGTTGGTATACAACTGCTATGTATGTTAAAATTATTAAAGTTTTATCTTAAATGACTTAGCGTATCAGCTCCGTATGGCAACAATAGCTATTTATATATTAAAGTCACAAAGCTTAATCTTCAGGTATACAATAGCTACTTACACACCAACATTACGCAGTTTTATGTTCAACAACTTAGAGCTTTGTCTGCAAATGATCATACATATTTTGTATACTAACATTCTTCACATTAGTTGTTTGTATACTAAGACAACGAAGTTTTATGGCCAACAGCTTAGTGCCTTAGCCACAAGCGAGTTCAGCTAACTTATCGGTGCTGTCAGAAGTAAAACTTCATGGCGCAGATATAGAATGGCTATTTATGTATTAAGATCATTTATGCATCTCTGCCGCGAGCCACTTTAGCAACAATCTAGGATACCTTTCAAAAGTTTTAGTACATTGGGTTGGTTTACCAAGTTCAACGATACCATGTTTATTACGATTTCTCCATGAAGATGGTGCATTACCAGATTATTTACTTTTTCCAAAATAACTAATCATATCACAGATGGTATTCGAGCTCCTAAGCGTTAATCGGTAGTTAGAAGCAAATAAACAAAGAATTTTGTTTATTAAATCCACACTGAGATCTTTGGCAATAAATTTGGAAATATTGGCAGCAGAAGTATTGATTATCTTCTGATCATTTGCCGTTTTATTACCATTGAAAACAGATATATGTAGTAGATATACAGTAACGTCATGGAGTTATGTAGTCAACAGCTAAATGTTTCAGCCGCAACTGACCTTGGCTACAAATTATCTCGACGTTCAAAGATAAAACTTCATAGCGCAAGAATACAGTAGCTATTTGCAAATTAAGCCCACGAAGGTTTATAATCAACATGTTTACAATTCAACGACCAATGTGTGTATTTATGTAAGTATTGAAAGCATCTATTGTAGCTCCTCGGCCGTCAGTGGCCTCAGCTATGTTTTCTTACTCATTGACAATTGACTCTTGGCAATGGCAAAAATAACTAAATAACCACTTGAAACATCGTTCTTAAATTTTATCTACGATTGGCAAGAGCATTTGCAAGCTTGTGTCTGTAATCGCGATTGTCTCTTCTATTTGAGGTCAATTAATGCTAATATTGAGGTATAAATATTTGAAAGTGTGTTATCAAGAGTTAAAAAAATTCTTCAATAATTTAAATTATTGTTATAAATGTCAGTTTGTTACATCGCAATGCAAAACAACAAATCCATCTCATTTATATTTTTCAATAAAACCATTTATTCTGTGATACGTGAAATGCAAGTTGTATTTAACACATTTATTTAATGAAATGGGAAATGTGATGTACAATAAAATATAACCCCTAAATAAACATGTAAACTAAAGACATATTTTAAAGCAATTTGTTCTTATCCTTTATTTTTCGTATTTACCGTTGGCTTATTTAAAAAATTGGTGTTAATCAGGTGCATCATTTTCTTATTTGCATTACATCTCTTGCTGTGAGCGTTTAAAAAGTTTGTATATACAATGTATTTACACGGTTAAAAAAGGATTGGCAATTTGTATTATTTTGTATTTGTAGTCTTTATATGTTGAAAATATTCTTTTGTTTACTTTTCACATAGAAAGTAGACCTTTTTGAATGTAGGTTTATGTATAGGAAGCGTGTTAAGTGTAAATAGAAAGATGTCAATTAACAATGTAGTGGGATTTCAAAGTTGGTCGGATAATTTTGAAGTAAAAGAATTTAACGGAAGAAAAAAAAGTGTTAAAAAGTAGATAATAAGAAATAAAATGATGTAATTAGGATAAATCAGGAAATAGGAAACCAAACCACCAAAAAAATAACCTTAAAAATTTGTGAAAGCTGGTTTCAAAGTGCAAAGAAAGCTTTTAGGTGCTATCTACTTTCTACTAATCCAATGTAAATTTAAATTTTTCTAAAAAATTACGACCACCATATACTAAAAAAATTATAATAATTTGTACAAGTCGATTTTGCGAATTTTCGGCGTTTGGCAAATTTTTACAAAACCCCCTACTTGACCATTACCTCAAAATCTAACAAAAAAATTTAATTTTTCATCAAAAACATTGTGTACAAATCACGTTTCTAAAAAAAATAATCAAACAAAAAAATTTCTTTATCAAAAATATTTTGAACGAGATGTGTACACAGAAAATAATTTCTAAGGCAAATTTGCAGCGAAAAATTTGAAAATAATTTTTGTTTAAACCGCACACCGAGTTTTATCGCAACTTTTGTCCCCCATTGGACTTACTCTCGAGCTTGTCACAATTTGTAACTTTTCCCTTCCAATCACAAGTTTGCTTATCGATGTCAAATGCCAACCCACTGGGGCATGTAATCTGCTTTAAACCGCTCTTAGTGCACCTGATGAAATTATGAAGAAGATTTTGGATGAAAAATGTTTCGATATTTAAGAATTAGTGACCATATCTAAACGGGTTTCTCGGTAATATAAATATTTTTAACAACACAAAATTAAATAAACAATAAGAAGATTAAGAAATAAGATAATAAAAGAAATACAGTACAAAAGACATGAAAATTAAGAATAAAATTAATCCATCATCGCTTTTAATATTGATCACTATTTCTTCTGTTCACTTACTTTCTACTCTATCGCAATTTTTCACGTTCGTTTTCCAGTCGCAGGTCTGCCTATCGACATCAAAGGCTAAACCAACTGGGCAACGCACGGAAGCTAATCTTGTAACTCCTGTATCACTATTACTATCGCACCTTTTAAGAAAAAAAAGATAAAGAAAAATAAAAAAATAACTGCGAATGATATCTTTGAAACAAGAAGATATAAGAAATATATCAAGAAAGAAAATCAGAAAAGAGAAGAAACTTTCCCTCTCTTACCTTACTACATCTCGGCAATCACCTTCTGTTGATAAGCGAAAATATTCATCAGCTGGCCTATTTTCACAAAGTTCTTCTGTACTTGCATCTCCATCTCCTGCATCTTCATCTTGACAATGTACTAAAATTGTAATTGTATCAAAAGTTAGTTTAGTCGAGTTGAGATTAATTATCAAATTTCCAATTAATGATGATGCATTAGGTAAAATAGAAAGTTTTCGAAACCGGTTTAACACCTACTTTTACTTTTAACCTTCAGATAGTTAATGATACTGTTAATGATCAATTAAGACAACATTAAAAATCTTTCCTTCTTACTTACTTTAAGTAATCACATAAATTATTGTGACTCATAACTTAATATTTATTATTAAAAAAAAAAATAACTTACCTAACCCAATTAATAGGAAAAAACACAGCCACAACCTTTTCGAAGCCATCCTTAGACTTCAACCACAAGCTAAGAAATGGTTACACTCTTTCTTGATATTTATACTAAAGCTATTTTAGCGACTACGCATGCGTATATTACTAAGAATCTACCAATGATCGACGTCCAACGTCTTCAAGAGGTGACTTTCACCACAACTAAGGTAAGGGAGTGAACTTTGAAAATCGTCCACAAGAGGTCAGCTGTTTAACACGAACTGTTCCATTTGCGACTAGACGGTTCAATTTAACACCAAGTTTCCAAGCCATTAGTTTTGTGGGGGATAAGATTTATCCCCACTATTTAAAAACATTTATATAAGATACGTTTTGTTACATATGCAACAGATATAAATATTCTTTAAAGATAAAGTCTTTTAGTTATTTCAAAACATAGAATTTTGAATTTTGAAACATCGAATTTAATAAATTTCGCTTTTATGTTATTTTTGGTGATTTCAAGAGGTTCTTCTGGAAGTTTTCGTGTTATCCGAAAAAAAATTCTCTTTGTTACTAAATATCTTGTCATTTTTTTTCCTTTTTTCAATTTTTTATATTTCACAAATATTGTAATATAAAACTTGTAATATTTGAAAGAAAAAAAAAATTATATTCAAGTTTATAGTTCAATAAGTACTATTGGAAAAAAACTATTAAATTAAGAAGTGATCGTTTCTTCCGTCACGAGTAAAAAGAAAGTTGTTTGTACGAAAACAAAGAGGTAAAAAATAAAGTTGTTCTATTTAAGTTAGATTTATTTTTTAAAACAATTAATCGCAACAACAATTATTATTTTAATAATGATTTATATATCACATCACAAATAATTAGTTTCATTATTTTAGATATAATAACTGAACCGTTATTGAGTATTAATATTAAAATGCCCAAATTTAAAGTTGAATATTGGAAAAATACATTTGATATCTCCAAATCGATAGTAGTACATACAGATGCGCCAAGCGATGCGGCGCTATTGCATAACAAGCTTCAACTATGACTGCAAAAAACGTAAAAATTGAAAATGAGGTAACTTTCTCGAATATATTTTATACTTTTTTTGTACTTTAATACTTTCTTGTAAACAAAAAGAAGTTATGAAATGTCTAACAAAACTTTGCAAACTAAGAATAATTCAAGTACTTTTCATAGCTGGGTAATATACTTCAATATTATAATATTCTCTGTCTCGTACAAGATGGTATCAATTAGTGATACATATTGGCACAAAAAATCAAGACTCGCGGATATAGAATCATATACGTATTACTTATTTGAAGATTCACGATTACGGATATGGATTTATTGCTCGTGCTGGATCGACAGCGCGTCACGCTTTTCGTAAAGAATTTTAAAGGTCAGTATTTGCATTGTTCAATCAATAAACAGATAATGTGACGTGGTTGGGTTTTGTTTTATTATTATATTAAAAAAAGATATCTTACAAAAAGTTTAGTTTTGCAAAACGGAAATGGTATACGTTACTGAAGCAGGGTATAACACAAAAAAAATCAGGTTATGAACAGGTATAAACATTGTTTAATTCAAAGTATAAAGTTATAAACTACTTGAAAAGTTTTTTGTTTAGTTTTTATTTTTTAGGTTTTATTTTCTCGGTGGTCTGGTTTTTTTTTGTCCGGTCCTTTCTATGTTTTTTTGTTTTGCTTTGAGTGGTTGTGTTTTTCGGTATATCCAGGTCCAGGAACATTCATAGTTTCTTGAAGTACCAGCATTACTATCATTTCTTAAGCAACTAGGACCAGCAACAGCGACTCTCATCATATTATTTTGGGAAACAAGAGATGTATCTGCCCTGGATTTTGTGGATTCTGACAGAAAAGCGTAGTCTGGTGTCGTATCAGGTTCAAAAGGAATGATTCCACAGGTTATAAAACCACTAAACCCATTATCTACGTTTGTTGACTTACCCCAAGCTAAGCCAAGAAGCGCACTAAGCTGCAGCCCGGTAATCTTCCGTGAGGGATTATTGGTCACGTAGTTGGACGAAGCAGAATAGTATGTCATTTTTAAAAACTTGAAGAAAGCACGATCTAATGGCTGAAGACGATGGTTTTTGTGGGACGTGCATCTATCCCAATTGTCGGGGATAAATGGCTGTTTTAAATGCCTTTTTATGTTAAGATTGCCCTCAAGTATACACTTGAGTCATAGCATTGATCTTACGTCGAAATCGTTTAAACTAGTGATGGAACGTATAGTGATTTTGCGAAAAGCCGAATACCGAATATTCGGAATCATTATGGTTATAATTTCTGGTGCATTTCTGAAGTGATACCCTATATTGCCACATTGCGATATTTGAATAAATATTAAATTAATAAGAAAGCCGATAAGATATGTCAACTTATTTAGAGCCAAGATACAAAATGAACTTTTTTGATACTGATTTAACTAACCAAGCAACTCCATAAAGAGGATACTTTTATTAATAATTGGCGATATTTCCACAAGGATCCTTCAAGAAATTAATTTAATAGCGAATTTTGAAAATTATCGATGAAAATTGCAGCATCGAAAATTTTATCAAAACTTCAAATATTGTTTTCTTAAAAACTAAAAGTTATTTTTCAAATCGTGTTGGTTCATTGGAAAGAGCATAAGGTACACTGGGGCAAGTGTGAATTAGTAGCAAGGGTGACCCACATGTATTAAAGTAATTGTTCAAATATATGTGGGTCATCCTTGCCCCTAATTCACACTTGCCCCAGTGTACCTTACTTTTATTAACATTTTGGGAAATTTTCATACTCATATTCCAAGAAATTGATTTTATGCGAATTATTGCCTTTCAATCTAACATTAGAGGTAACATGTGTGTATGCCGATGATACGTCAATTATAACAACAGCAAAAACGGAACAAGACGTGAAAAGGTGCAGCGATAAAAACTTGGAGAGAGCAGAAATATGGTTCCATAACAACAAATTGAAAATCAATATTGAGAAAACACAGTATTTAAAAATTGCGCCAAAAATTGATCCAACGGTGTATAATATCAAGTACTTAGGGATGAATATAGATAACAAACTTCCCTGGCAGTCACATATATCAGATTTAGCTTTCAAAATAGCCAGTGCAAAATATACTATCAAGAGAATGAAATGGTCGCAACTCACGAAGCAGCAAAGATAGCTTATTTTGCAAATTTCTAAAGTGTTGCAAGTTATGGAATACTGTTGTGGGGTATGGCATCGGACTCAGTTCGTATATTCACCCTTCAAAAAAAAGCAATCAGATCACTATGCAACCTAAAACCGTACGAAAGCTGCAAAGATCACTTTAATACAGAAAAAATACCCTGCCTTGTATTTACATACTCACCTGTTTGAAATATGTGCATGAGAACAAAGAAAAATATGTCAAGAACAATCACACACATAATTTCGATATAAGAAACAAGAATGCTCTACAAGTACCATATCACAGGACCAACACAACCCAAAATTACGTGGACTATTGGGGCCCAAAATTGTATAACAAGATACCAAATTACCACGCCTTAAAGTCCAAACAGTTTGCCAAAGAAGTTAAAAAACTATTAATTAACCACAGTTTCTATACCATAGACGGGTTCTTAAATTATAACAATGCATATTGAATTGTATACCTACCCTTAACATGTCTTTTAAAGTGTTGTAATTTGTGTATATATTTTCTTTTTAATCGACTTTCATGTAATGCTTTTATTGCACTGAATAAAGTATATTTATCATTATCATTTATCATTATTAGAATTTAGTCGGCGATAATTGCAAAATTCGAAAAAATTGTCGATTATTTAAAAAATTTATTTCTCAAGAACTAAAAGTGATTTTTCAAAACGGCTTGGTGCATTAAAAAGAGGATACTTTAATTAATAATCGAAAGTGATAACAGCAACAGTTATGTTAGTAATGAATGTGATGATGAATTACAAGCGAAGAGAAGAAAATAGGCGAAACTGCAACAAGAGATTTTATATATCGCATTAGTATTGTTACAATGGGGTTGCTAATCATAAATAAAGTTGTATTCAATGAAAAAAGTCCTATTGGGATTGAATTTGATTATTATCTGCAGTGTCCAACACATAAAATAGATAATTAATTCCTGTGAGTATTAAGTAATAGATTTTTAATATCCAATACAATAGATATTTGGAACTATCCGGTAGCCGGCCGATTTTAAAAAGGGTTGGATACCGGATAGTTGCCGGATATCCGTTCCACCACTAATTTAAACAAAGTTACCCACATAACAAAGAAATCCAGTATAAAATATTTTTCAATACACCAAAAGGAATAAACGAAGTTTTCTTCTAAATTACACATGACTCAAGAGCAAAATTAAGTTAGGAAATTTAACTTCAGCGGTGCTGCGACAGAGCAGCCAAGATTGCTTGAAAAATATTGTTTGAGGTTCTCCTGAATTCTCAAGAATCATCACATGGCAGATTACATTTCAGAAATGTTCTAGTGTATGTTTAATTAATGGGAAATTTTGAAACATGATGATAGTGATGGCGGATCCAATATGAAACGAGACCATATAATATGTCATGATACAACACCAATTTTTAAATCAATAACGAAATAGTTTACATTTTATAGAACTGAACACAGCAGTTATGTACAACAATTAGCTTCCTAAGGTTTAAAGTAATGCCTTTTAATCAGCTTCTGCTCCACCCATTATTGGCCACTCACAGATCTCCTCATATAAGGATATATGTTTACTCGAAATATATTGCTAGAGCTTTTCATGTTCTCCATTTGCTTCGAGTCTTGAAGTAGTACTTGAACAATTCTCCAAGTACGCCTTTTCTGTAGGAAATGGGATATTTTCGTATTTTGCTAAATGAAAACTATGAGATCTTAATCTTATTTTGATATAATGAACTCTACTTTTTCTTCTTTAGGAATATTCTTCTTTAAAGATTCAGTATATAAAATCTTTGTTTTATTAGATTTCATCCACCAGTATTTGAAATCAATTAAAAAAAATTTTTCTTACATCTGCAAAACTGCAGCTTGAACTAGACTATACCAACATTTTTGCATATACTCTATAGGTATCTAAACACGATCAGTATTAGTTCATTTCAACTGTTTCGTTTCAACGTCATAATTATGATCACAAGGGACAAATGAATACTGAGTATTGGATAACTTTGTCAAATCGTCCAGAAAAAAACAGCGTTATTAGGTATCAGATTAGAGTATTGTTCCGGTTAT